AAAAATTCTAAACTGCTGGCTGGGGAGGAGTTTGAAATTGCATTCTCTCCCCACAGACCTTTTGGCACACTGCATCTTCTGTATTTATCTCAAGAAGCTAACCTGGCCCCAAGAACAGCCATGAAATTTTGGGTCTCCAATAAAAGTATATAATAAGTATATATATATAATATCTAGGTATAATACAGTGGTGCCTTGACTTACGCACGTAATCCGTTCCGGAATGATTGTAGTAACTCAAAATGGTTGCATGTCAAAGCACCATTTCCCATAGGAATGCATTGGAACCCCATTAATCTGGGGGGGGGGAATCACCAAACCTCCAAAAAACACTGCATGCCCTATCGGTATGTGATGGGGCCGAAAAAGAAATCACCAAAAAACAAACAAACAGAGCAAGCCCCATCGGAATGTGCTGGGGCTGAAAAAAATTCGCAAAAAACCCACAACACCACAGCAAGCCCCATCGGAAGGCACTGGGGATGGAAAAACAGATCTTTTTCCATGCTTTTTTTTTCATTCCAGGCTTTCTTCTTCTCTCAACCCCTTTGACATTTCCATTAACATTTTACTCCTGTTCATCTCTCTGGTCTTCTTGGGCTCCTGGTTCCCCTGGAAACATGGTTTCTCTCAGATTTACTGGGGAGCTATTGGTGTCCTGGTGAAAGATGAGGGAAGCCTCTGTGCCTCTGTCCCTATCCTTACACTGTGATAAATACCATTTAACAAGACTTTGTTTGTGTGAACTTCAATGTCTTAAAATTAAAAATGAAACCAGATTGCATCTATTCAAACATAACATAATTATATTCCCTTTAGAATCTGAGGATTAGTCATAGATAAGGACAAAATATATTTTTAAAAAGTAGTAAGCAAGTAATGTTTCAGCACTGAAAAACTTTGGATATTGAAAACGTGTAATGAAATGTACATCCAGTAGGAAGCTGTAATTGGCTACAGCTTCCAAATGCATAGTTGCGTAAGTGCAAATAGTTACACAGTGTTTTCATGTTCAGAGTGTCCCACAGGTTTTTGCTAAAAATAAGTCTGTCTGCAAATGCTAATTGACAGTGCAAGAACAATGAAAAGCTGTTTATTGTGGAATACTGAACTGATATAATACTAATTTATAGAACTATATTTATACTCAAATAGAATGACCTCAGTGTTGATCCACAGAGCAGTTGTTTCACTTGATTCCAGGTGTATCTGCATTTCAAAGACTTATCCAGCATTTGAGCAAAAGATTGGAATATAATTTAATGCTGAATCCCACCGGAAGACCCAAAATGTCCGCGCGCAGCGTTTTCGTGTCCTGCCCTCGCTTACCGAGGGCGCGAAAATGGCTGCCACTATGGAGGAACATCGCTGAATGGTGAGTTTTGTGCCCATTTGGAACGCATTAAACGATGGGTTTCCCCGTTCCGTTTAGCGATGTTTCCCCATAGCGAAGGGGGACCACTGTATAATTTAATACTTTGCTGAATCCTATGTGTTGTTTCTCTCCATCTTGAACCAGGTCAATCATTATGCAAAAGAAAGGAGTAAGAGTGATAACAATAACATGAGCAATTTCCTTGTATTCCCATTCCTACCGCCGTTCTTGTGATATTTGTCTTTGTGGAGGTTAATTTTATTTTTGGGCTTGGTAGCTTTGTCTCCATTTGAGAATGACACTGGCCTGCACTTTCTGTTTCATTTTCAATAGGAGTGAGAGCTTTGAGAATCCAGTTCTACAGCAGCATTATATGAACCTAGAGGCCTTGGCGCTGGACCTGATGGAACCTGAAAAGGTTGAGGATCTGACCGGTAAGAATAATTTAGTGTAGTGGAAATGCATCTGTGACAACATATATGGAATGTGTTCAGCTTCCTCTCCTGGCGTGCACAAAAGGTCCAAGACTCACTGCAGTACAGGAGTGTGCTCGGGACACAGGCTCTATAGACCTGGATCTTGGTATATGCCATCAGCTTCTTATTAAGCCATACTCTCTTTGCGAGTCTAGAGAACATGGGAGCTGCTTTGCCAGTGCGTTTATCCAGCTCGACATCTAGGGAGAGGGTGTCAGAGATTGTTGAGCCAAGGTACATAAAGTCATGAACAACCTTCAGTTCTTATGTGGAGATGGTAATAGAGGGAGGTGAGTCCACGCCCTGGCACATATATACAATGTGCTCAATCAAGCATAATATTCGCCCTGGCACATATATACAATGTGCTCAATGCTCAATCAAGCATAATATTTTAGATATATGTTGAAATTTATTAATGTTAGCCTTTTTGAGTTCTTGTCCATTCAAATCTCAATCTGCAGAAAGAGATATAATAGCCAATTTTCTGCATGTTAATATCCCTGGCACATATATACAATGTGCTCAATGCTCAATCAAGCATAATATTTTAGATATATGTTGAAATTTATTAATGTTAGCCTTTTTGAGTTCTTGTCCATTCAAATCTCAATCTGCAGAAAGAGATACAATAGCCAATTTCCTGCATGTTAATATAATTATGTTAATTTTATTTATTTATTTATTTAATTTATATGCCGCCCACACTACCCAAAGGTCTGTTTTAATGTAAGCTCTTACCTAGTCTCTCCGGATATGTGGTGTGCGTAATTTTTTTTTTAAATTTTTTTTCAGTGCCCAAGACTGAGGTGATGGAACACAGACTTGGTAACCTTGTGGAGGAGTTCAAACAGCTGGTTTACCCACCAGGTTATGACCCCGATGGGAGAGTTACAAAGCGAAAACAAGGTGAGGTTGTAAAAACACTGAAAAAGCTGTAGCTACATCCTCTAATCTCATATATAACCCATTTGGAAAGTTTCCAAAATTCTCAGCCCATTATGGTTTGAGTCATCCCTTAGTGCACTGGTTCTTAACCTTGGGTTACTCAGGAGTTTTGGACTGCAACTTCCAGAAGCCTTCACCACCAACTGTGCTGGCTGGGGTTTCTGGGAGTTGCAGTTCAAAAACATCCGAGTAACAAAGGTTAAGAACCACTGCCTTAGTGTACAGTCAAGAAATTAATGGGAGGATATTTAATTGTCTTGTCTTTTTCTGCTCTTGGCACTAACAGAGTATGATTAGGTCAACAAAGACTTCAAGGCTATCAGCTTTCCAAAAGAGAAATCATTATGAATTAAAATACTTTTGAATCGCAGAATGAAACAAGCCTTATTTACTTGCCTGTTATTTGACACTGTAACTCATGGTCAGACTGAAGTTTTGCATGATATTTGGGAAGCTATTTCTGTGGCATTCAGTGTGTTTATGTCTGCACTAGCAACACATGGTGGTAAACGATTCATTCAAAAATCTCTTTCCAGCAGGGGATGTCACTGAACCAGAAAAGAAAGCCAAGGTAGAAATATCTGAGGAAGATTTGAGGAATCATGTCCGAAAAGGCACTTTGGGTAAACTTACTGTACCAGTTCTAAAAGATGTCTGCAGGATTTATAAGCTATCGGCAGGGGGAAAGAAGCAAGAACTTTTAGATGTGGTGACTGAATATTTCAGTAAGCACTGAATTCTGATCCTGCTCCCAACTGCCACCTCTTCATCCACTTCCTAAGGTTTAGATACGTAGCAGGCAAAAAAGATGTCATGTCTTTATAATTGTGGTTAGAGAAAAAGAAGTTGGCATTGTCCCCCATTGTCCCCACAATGGTTGATAGAATTTGGTGAATATGGGAATTAAGTTGAAGATTTAATTTTTCCTGTTTCAAGACTGAATACAACCTTGCTGTACTTCCTTATACCTTTAATAAATGAGCTTGTTTTGTACGTATCTGCTTTTATTTCAGCTGGTTCAAATGTACAGTGGTGCCTCGCTTTATGACATTAATTCGTTCCAGCGAAATCGCTGTAGAGAAAATATCGTAAAGCAAAATTAAAAAAGCCAATTGAAATGCATTGAAACCCGTTCAATGTGTTCCAATGGGCAGAAAACTCACCGTCCAGAGAAGGGGCGGCCATTTTCGGTGCCTGTGCAGTGAGGAATCCATCCCTAAGCACAGCAGGGGGCCATTTTCTTCATCCGGTGGCCATTTTAAAACCCAACGATCAGCTGTTTTTTATCGTCGTAAAGCGAAAATCTCAAAGTGGAAAAACCCCATTCAAACCATTGTTTTGCGATTGCAAAGCGATTGCAGAAACCTCACCATCAAGCGGATTCGTCGTTAAACGGGGTAATTGTAAAGCAGAGCACAAATGTAATGTTATAGTTAACATATACAATATACTTTGATTGGAAATAGCCTGCCTGCTGGAAGAACTGTATAGATTTGTTGGATTTAAAGCTTGAGCTTCAGTAACTAGCATTCAGAGTACATAAAATTAAATAGGCTATGAAAATACTTATTCTTTATACATCCTGGAACATCTTTTAGTAAAAATACACAAACCATGAACTTCTCTTTCATGGTGCCCCAAATCACCTGCTAGAGCCAGCCACATTTGTTTTGATCCACAAGACCCACGTTAATCATATACACTGGTGTAGAACAATGAAACCAACAGGACTGACTGAACATTACAACCACATAAAAGAACCAAGGAGATGGCCTAGAACTGCCAAAGCTCAACATACCTGATTGCATTTGGCTGTTCAGCTTCTGCAATTCAGACATTTCCTCCTCTTCATGGTACATGTAAACACTCTGTAATCCTTCCATGGGATCAGAGACAATGTGACTGTTGGTTCTGCTAACTAGTTCCCATTGCTCATGCAGTACATTGAACTAGAGCAGTGGTTCTTAACCTTTGTTACTTGGATGTTTTTGAACTGCAACTCCCAGAAACCCCAGCCAGCACAGTTGGTGGTGAAAGCTTCTGGGAGTTGCAGTCCAAAACTCCTGAGTAACCCAAGGTTAAGAACCAGTGAGCTAGAGGATAACTGAAAACATACTGGACTGGGACTTTAGAAAGCCAGCAGTCCTACTGGAGGAAATATGGGGCATCTAACAAGGGAATCACCGTCAGCGGGAGAGATCAGAGCAGTGGTTCACAATATGACTTTCAACTATTTCTACTCCTGCAGAAAGTTCTCTTTATGTTGACATCAGTACTTTCTTGAGCAGCTCAGTTTAGCTAGAGTTATTACAGTACTAGCCTCAGCTAGAGATTCTGGTAATGTTGGAAAGTTCAGGAAGAGTAGAATCCTAGTAAGTGTAACCAGCGGCAGTGGGTACCAAAAGAGGAAATGAGGGATCATGGTACAATTCTGCCCCATTTTTGGCACTGGGCAGTGCCTACTGCTGGTATTGTTCTTCCATCCAAGAAAGATCGAGGAAAAATGGCTCCTTTATGATAATGTAGGTACAATTGCTTACTATAACTGCTTGCATAGGTTCCATTGATTCAAATGGGCTTACTGTAACTGACTTCCTATGCTAAAGTCATAGAAAAGACCCATTTGAATCAATGGAAGTTGAGTTGACTCACCAAAGCCTATTGATTTAATGGGGCCTACTCTAGTGCAATTTACTACACATCCAGTTTTTGGGAGGTAGCAGCATCCAAGAGTAGAAATATTACACCATGGGCAACACTATTCTTTTGTCTTCACAAAAGAATTTCTCCATGCCCCTAGAAGCTGAGCTAAGCATTTTTGCCCTGTGTAAACATGGATTAGTAATTAAAAACAACAACCCAGAAAGTGCAATTAAAGAACAAATAATTTCTTGTAACTCAGGAAATATATAACCAACTGTAATTTATTTTCTTAAAAAGTTAAAGCCAGTTCATTTAGGGCTTTTATCTGCCATTTATTTCTACCAGTGTCTTTAGAATCAAGCATGTGAGCCTGGTTTGTTGTATGTGCACTACTATGGAGACAAGGAATACAACAGACTAAAGTAGCTTCGGGGGGCATTATATTGGCAAGAACATGTGCTTTGCATTTACTGGATTGCTATGTTCACCCCCGAAGCCATTTGCAAATGAAACTTGTTCATTGCTAACATAGATCAATTATATCCCACTGGATAAATACTGTTCCTCCTTGGAAAGAAGAATGTAGAAGTAATGACAGCATTCTCTCATTAGAACAAGCATAACTGAGAAAGACAGAAAGGATTGATCTAGTTGACAACAAAACAAAAGCAGTAGACTACAATTACGAAAATAAAAAAGATAAACTAAACTTTAATTTTCTGAGTTGCTTTTGTTTAACATTAGCGATCTAACAGATTTACACCAGTAGTCTCTCAATGGCTTGCTGAACAGACTGAATCTGAGGCTTCAGCTGGGAGCCTTCTTTGATGGTAATGGAGCAAGCTACAATAGGCCGAGAAACTCCACACGCCCGGCCAAGGGCCTGCTTGGAGCGCACAAATACATAGGGAACGTTCTTGTCTTCACAAAGAAGTGGAAGGTGAAGGATGATCTCCAGAGGCTCAGCATCAGCAGCCATCACAATGAATTCAGCAATTCCTCTGTTCAATGTTTTAGTAGCTGTAAAAAAGGAAATAAAGACAATTACTAGAAATACCATTTCCTTAAACTACAAGGAAACACTCAGTAAAATTAAACGAACTGCAAGTTTCTTTCTCAGACTGGAAGAGCTAATGAAGGAATCATATACATATATCTTGGAAAATGACTGCATCTGCAGAAACAAAACTGAAGTTTTAATTGTCAAGATGGAAAGGCATGCCTATAGTTCAAAGAACTATTTTAGCTCATCCCAAAGCTTATATGTGCCCAATGAAATAAAAGATCTGTACAGTTCATCAGTGAAAAGTTAAGTAAAACATCTCTTACATGTTGTATTTGGATCAGCAGCCTTAAGTACATCTAAATCTAAAATTATTACTACACCCTTACTTCTCAAAGGATATAAGATGTGGCATAATAGCTAAAGTGCTGAAGACCTGGGTTCAAATCTCTGCTCAGCCATGGAAACTCACTTTTGAACTGGAAAAACCACTTTTCAAATAACTCACCTGGAAAGCCCTATGACAGTCATCCAAAGTCAGTTGTGATTTGACAGCACACAACACACACATCTAGAAGGCTGCCATTATTTTATGCAAGGAACCTCAGAAGCTGCAGTGGCAGCCAGAACAAATACAGAGATTAAATGCTGCATCAAAAATAACAAATTGACCTGTGTTTAGATGTCTATTTAATCAGTGGTTTTTATATCTGATCCTAAACTCATGGGGGAAGGTGTTACAGAGTTTGTGGGAAAGCCAATGGAAATGCTCTTTTGAGCATTTTTGGTGGCTAAGATTTGTGTTACTGGCCTAGAAAGACAGAAATCCAACTCTTCTCATTGAAAGAGTTGATCCACCTCCAACTAGAAGATTAGTCAGATTATTTCAGTTCTGCAAATTTGGAGAAATGAGCTTAACGTGTCTGAACTGACCGGCAGATTATCTCATCGCTAAGGTCAGAAAAGCTGTAAAGATAGGCATATTGTATGATAAAGCAAAGTACAGAAGATTATATCCATAAGTAACAATGAAAACCTAGTACACTACATGCACACCAAAATTTCTGGTACAAGTACTACCAGCTCTCACCTTCATTGGCCCCTTTTCGTAACTGTTTATAGTTACACGCCTGCTGTACAAGATCTAGAAGAGTCTTGGTAAGCTGAGCATCGGCAAGTGGATAAGCCTTGGGATTTACTTCTGCCTCAGTCTAAAGACAAGTAGAAACAACGGTTTAAGGAACAGGAACCATAAGCTTCAACCATCAAGTCTACTTGAAAGCCACATGACCTGAAAAACAAGCACATACTCGTGGGCAGGATGCCTCCTGCTGAATGGTTTAAACTCCCCCAATGGAAATGCTCTTTTCAGCATTTTTGGTGGCTCAAAAATGTAGGCGTGCCTGCACCCTCAGTGTCCTTTACAAGGACTTTTAATAATCACTTTTAGTACTTCTAAGCCAAGTACATTCCGCAAGAACACACACACAAACATCTATTCTGAGTTACAAGTTTAAACAGGAGCACAATTTACAGTTTCACCTGCTGTACATTCAAAGCAAGCCTCCTTCCCCCTTAGTAAATTGAGCTAAATTTCCTCTTTAAATCTAGATTCACTTCCATGATATAAAGAATAAATCTGAGCAAGGAACTAAAACCTAGTAACTTTCACACGACATTCCAGCAGCCTCAGCTTTTATCTCGGTATGGATGCCAAACTCCTCTTGCAACAACTGGGCAAATGGGAGAAAGGTGCCAACTGCTTCCCATGAAACTTGCCCTAAAGGAATGCAATAGCATTCCTTTAGCATTTGCAGTTTTAAGTATCAAATTAGGAGAAAGCCCCCTCTCCCCAAAATGCTGGAACACAACGGTTGAACTACCCACTCAGCCACAGAACTGACCGGCTGACGCGAAGTCAGGTACAAACTCTGCCACCTCATAGGGCTATTGTGAGGCTGAAAGTAAGAAAACCTAATTTCGAACTTCTTGCGAAAAAGGGTCTGAAAATCAAAACTGAAGTAAACAGAAGAAGCGTGTTCGGCGGGAGCACGTGGATGTTAAGCTTTACTACTAAGCTCACTCTTAGCCGCCTGAGAAACGTTGCAAATAAGATCACAGTTACAGTTACCAAGACAGGAAGCTGCCCAGAACCCCGTTAGAGGTTTTTTTTTTTTGCTCGGCACGTGCCAGGACCCCCCGCTTGCTCTGAGCTTGTGCAGAGAGCAAGGCGGCGAGCTTTCCCCTCTCCCTCTCCACGAGGGAGCCAAGCGCGCCCACAGCAAAGGCAGGGAAAAGAGCTTTCCTCGAGTCAAAGACAAAGCAGACAGAATCGGGATGGAAGGCACTCTCTCTTCACACCCGCACACGGGTTAGACTCGATTCTACTCACCATTTTAGATGAATCCTCTCGGCCCGAAAGCTTCACGGAGGAAAAAAAGCGAAAACCACCGCAGAACGCAAGGAAAAAAAAATGTGCTACTGGAAGTGACGTCAGACAGGAAATGATACCTTGGGCCTACACTTTCGACGCTTCTGAATTGCGCCCTCTAGCCGTGGCGGACTGAAAAGCCGGATTCATTTCAGGAGTCAAGCGGGACTTGAGGCGCGAGAAGTGTTGTTGTGCGAGACCACTAAGCCCATGAAACTACTTTGGGAATAAACTTAACAAAAAAAGTTGTTTGGCTCTTAAATTATCCCGGGCAAAATATTCGGGATATCGGGGAGTTGTAATATACCCTGCAGATTTTCAAATACCTGATCCGGTGTATGCAGCGTCTGAATGCCTTTCCGCCGCTGCTCTCCCTCCTGAAAATGCATTCCTTTCTTCCACGCCCAGAGCAATAGTTGCACACTCGGCAACGGACTACTCCCTGCTACAGATCCCGTTTCCATTGCCCAGCCTAGTGGGTTCAGCCCGAAACTTAAGCCTTAGGTGGGTCCAGTGACGCGTTGCTCGTTTGTACACCGCCCAGAGCATGTGAATTCACTAACTGGACGCTATGTAAAATAAATAAATAAATAAATACTCCTCAGGCTTTCATAATTTGGTGCACCAGCTGATTATAATTAATGCCGTCATGGAAATAAATGCCGCCTATCTTTTTTTTTTTTTAATTACAATTTCGTTCGTCTTTAACCGTTGCGGCACAAACAGAAGTGTTGTAAGGTAGTTCTCCCTTGCAAGCATATCGGCTTCCCAGGAATTGCTCCTCTGACTTTCTTGCAGTCCTTAAAGCCACAGGAAACCTGTCAGAAACATCGGGCGGAGCATCTCCACGCCCTACTTAGGACGCTTCTTTCCACCTGCTACTCTCTCCCGCTACCTCTCCAAGGCTCGGCCACGTTCTTTCAATGCGCCTGCGCAAAACCGCACAGCCAAATTTGATGCCGTTCTCCCCGGTTGCTGTCCCGCCTCACCCTCTGAGGGAGACCAAGCGGGCGGGTGATGATGGAGGCGGCTTCGGAGCTCCTGGTTTGCGAGCGCCTCCACCATCTTCACGACTCCCGCTGGCTTCTGGAGTGCCTGCCTTCGCCGCTTTGCTTGGCGTGTGCCATCGAGACGTTGAAAGACGGCGGGGTCTCGGTGTGTGCCTCTGCCGCCTTGCTCACTGAAGCGTCCTTCTGGAAGCATCCCCCTCCCCCTTTCCCTCACTTCGCCTCCTCTCTCTCTCTTTTCCCGCTCCCTTCCTCGGGTTGCTGCTTCCCACAGCTCGCTTTCCGATCCGTGGTCCTACCCAGGAGGCGTCAAAGAGCAGAGGATTGGGCTAATGGCTAGGCCTGTGCTTAGTTCAAGCGGGGGTTCCTTGCCCTGTGGGGGGAATAAGGTAGCAATAAAACGACTGTGGAAGCTCTGGCTCGTCTTTACATCTTGCAAGGAAGCAGCAAGAAATAAATATGGAAGGGAAAGTACAGTAGTGTTTGAATTTTGACTGTCCTGCTTTGCTTGCCCGGTGATACAGTACATATTTCTGTTTCAGTCTCAAGTCCTTCCTATCAGAGTAGTAAAAAAGTAAAGGTTCCCCTTGGCAATCGGTCCAGTCATGTCCGACTCTAGGGAGCGGAGCTCATCCCTTTTTCCAAGCCGCAGAGGCAGTATTTGTCCATAGACAGTTTCCGTGGTCATGTGGCCAGCACAACTAGACACGGAACGCCGTTTGTTATCTTCCCACTGTGGTGGTACTTATTTATCTACTCACATTTACATGCTTTTGAACTGCTAGGTTGGCAGGAGCTGGGACAAAGCGACGGGAGCTCACTCCGTCGTGTGGATTCGAACTGCTGATCTTTCGACCTTTCAGTCCAGAGGCATAGTAGTGACCTATATTTTGCTGTGCTGATCTGTAGATTAATATGTTAAAGTTATTCCAACAATAATGATGATGATCCAGTCCAAGTACACAGGGCTTTGTGAAGGTTGGGAGAACACATCCCATTTTTGGGATATTTACTATCTGGAAAAGTGCACAAGGGAGCTAACAGGAAAAGGAACCAAAGAGTAGTTGGGAAGAATACGGAAGCTGCAGCTGCTTGGCCTTGGTTGTAGCAGGATGATAAAGACTAAAGGTGCCAAAGCTGTCATGGTTTTGCAGAAGCTGCAGTGGCTTTTTAATTTTATTCGCTAACCCATTTGTGAAATGAAGTCTGTTTCTCCATATCCAATTTTAAATGTGCCTATAATATAGGATAGCCTGAAAAAATCACATTGCTTAATTGAAAATTAAACATTTGGTTGCTAGCATGAAAAACTGGCAGAGAATTGCAAAATATATGTTTGAAATTTCCATCCCAGTTTTGGCGAAGGAACTGAAGTAAGAGTAGTAGTCTCATTACTTATAGAATACTGTACAGTTTTGTGTATCAGAAGCCGCAAGGCAGAAGATGGCATGAGTGATGGAGATTGACAAACAAAGGTAACATGTAGGGATTCATTAGGGTATTAAAGTAGAAAGTATCAGTGGAGCAAGACCATATGTTATTTTCTTGGAAGAAGTTAAGAATGGCCTCAGCAACCACAAACATGGTAAATTAGGACTAATGATAGGATTTAGTCCTGAAATTGATAGACAAATAAATATATATATATCATTTTGAAATAAAATTATTCTCTTAATGTATGCCATATTGAGCAGATCAAAAGGTAGAATATAAATGTTTCACTTTAAAAAAATTAAAAATCAAAAATCAAATAGAGATAAATCACAAAAATGAATTTGCATGGGGATTTGATCTTCATGTATTTTTCTTGATAAATAACTCCTGGAATTTATCTTTTTTAACCTGTAGCATGTACGTAAGAAGCATATACTCTCTTGCCTTCGAGATATTTTGACTCGGCATGCAACATTAGTCATCCCACTGCTTGTGCAAGATGAAAGAGTCTGTGCTCATTTCATAGCAACCTTGTTTGGTAAGTGAAAACCATCCAAATTTTATCAATTTAACAGAACTAGAGTATTCTGCTGCATAACTGTATCATTCTTTTCTGTTCACTCTTTTTAATGTAGTATAATGAGCGTATTTATGGACTGTAAGCCAAACCAGATCTCCTGGTAATGTCTGATTGTGCTGCATGTTCCTAGTTCCCCTCTTCCAAATAACAGTGTTGGGGGCAAGAGAGCCAACAAGATAGTGTTAACTATTTTTCCTAGACTGCAGTCTCCATGGAAATCTTGACCAGAAAGCTTTGGAGTAGGATGGTATTTCAATGAGCTGGTGTTTTGGGGAGGGGAAATATCTCCATGTTCCAAACCAAGTAGGGCATTTGGCCATTGTTATTTAGAAAGAAAAGACCCTAGGTCCTTTAAAGGTAAGTATAAAATTACCATCTAGCTTCATACTAACTCAGTACTGGTTCAGATTAATTTCAGCCATAGACTTGTTAGGAAGGTTTCAGAAGCTACTATCCCTTGTCCATCACATCCTTCCACTTATAGTCTAGGAATAATAAATGAATATTAGATTACTCTGAGGATATTGTAAATATTATTTAGACAGGTGAAATGCTTTAAATATTTGAACTGACACTGCTGGTGTTGTATGTGTATTTATTACTCACTGTTAGCACCCAGTTTCTGTGTTTTATTCTGGGATTTTGCTTTTGTTATGGAGGATATTGTGTTTTCAAACACCAAAAGAAATATTTGGCCCTGGAAAAAATGTGATACTTCCACCAGATGGTGCTTTTATTTTTAGTCATATCCAAAGATGATGGATTGATGGTTTGAGTATGTGGCTTGGAGGAAAAGAGCACGTAAGTAAGGGAAAGAAGGGGTGGGGCTAGCCCAGCTTGGTGTTTGTTACTTTTAATGGGAATTGGTTGTTGTATTTAACTGTGTATTCTTTTGAACATGTTCTTTATGTTATGCTTGAGCAAAAACTGTTTCTAAGAAACTATATATTTTCTTAATAAAAAGTTAATCATAAAAATCTTCAAGGATTGTCTCTCTGACTCAGCAGGGTTTGGCTAAATCCAGAGGAGTGGTAATGGTCATTGACTAGCTACCAGAGAAGTCCTAATTAACTGAGCTGTTGTGAGTTCTAAGGAACTACAAAGCCCATGTGTCAGTGCTTGCAAAGTACTGAGTAAAAGTAAAGTATTCTTTTAAGGTCAGGCTTATTCTAGGCACAAAGTCTCCGCATTGCTGGAGGTTGAGGACTTGCCCCACCGTAAAGGTGGTAGATTTGTGGCTGAGGGATTCACTGACCAAAGGATCCTTGCTTCTTAGGGAGACTTGGTCCTGACACATACCATAGCAGCAGCTTAGTAGGATATGAAGATTGTTCAACACTTGATATTCTTGTCCAGCCTCCTGATCAAAATATAAGTTCATACCAGCTAGACTCTAGAGCAGTGATTCCCAACCTTGGGTTCCCAGATGTTCTTGGACTACAACTCCTAGAAGTCCTGTCTACCACAGTAGTGGTGAAGGCTTCTGGGAACTTTAGTTTAGAGCATTTGGGTACCCAAGTTTGGAAACCACTGAACTAGAGTTAGTATCAAAAACTTTAAAAAAGGTGGGGAATGTGATAATGGTTGTTGTGGGTTTTTCGGGCTTCTTGGCTGTGTTCTGAAGGTGGTTTTTCCTAACGTTTTGCCAGTCTCTGTGGCTGGCATCTTCAGAGGACGGCAAACTGTGCTTGCCCCACCATTTGCTGTCCTCTGAAGATGCCGGCCACAGAGACTGGCGAAACGTTAGGAAAAACCACCTTCAGAACACGGCCAAAGAGCCTGAAAAAACCACAACAACCATTAGATCCCGGCCGTGAAAGCCTTCGCGAATACATTGAATGTGATAATGCTGGAATACTACTTACAACTTCTAGGTTTCCAAGACTCAGAGCACAATCCTGTATGTATTTATTGGAAAATTCAATCCCATTTTATTCAGTGGATCTTGTTCCTCATTGTGTTCAGGATTACAATCCCAGTATTGGTTACAGGAACATTATCATTAGTTTGTTCCAAAAGCATCTATCTGATATCTGTGTGTGTATGTTGCAGAGATCTTACAAACAGTGGAAAATAGCAGCTTTCAAGATTTACCTGTTGAAAGTAAGTAAAAAATGGGGAGTATTAATGATTATACAAGCAATTTTTGTTTTGTCTGGATATTAAATATTTATCTTGTAGTACCTATTAGAGATGGGCATGAATTAAAAAACAAATCACCAAATCAATTCAAAAATTGCTTATTTGTTGATTTATATTTTTATGAATGAATGTCCCTGACAAATACAAACCAACAAATTTCCAGCCATTTTTTAATTCATTGAGCTATAAAATGGCTCCCCAGGCACCTAGAGACACCAGCACTATAGAGAGAGTCAGAAAATTCCCCTGACTCTCTCTACAATCTCTTGAAGATTGGGTTTCGGGTGTCTGGGTTATACATCCCAAAAAGGGCCTCCCAAGAAAGTTCAGCCCAGACACCTAGAGACACGAAAATCACAGAGAAGTTTACCCTGACTCTCCTCTACAACCCCTCCCTCATTTGGTGAAGATTAGGTTTCCCAAACTAGCTGCTAAAGAGTCAATTCCTGGAGGTGGCCCACTTTGTAGGTATATAATTCAGATGTCTGAAACTCAGGGCTGCTATAGTGAGGCAAATGGAATTCCCTTTACCCATCTTTTCAAACAACTTTTCTAACAGTTAACATTGTGAAGGAGCTATGCAGATTGATCAGAAACTGAGCAAGGGTAATTCAGTCTGCAGGCTGTGCAAAAACAGGAAAAGTTGAAGGAACATGCTAGTTTCTTGGGTCAAAGCAATGTAAATATTTCATTTTTAGCAAACTTAAATATAAAAAAAATAGAATTATGGCTAAACCCCATCACTTTCCATTGAGCTGACATGTGAAATCTTCGGGATTTCTTATTAAGAAATTGATTTGCTAGCTTCAGAAGAGCCACCTGCAGTACTTATCTGCAGTACTTTAAAAAAGCCAAGCAATACTCAGCATGGTTTTCCATTAATATATATATATTAGTGGAACAGATGGAGTAAGGTTATTAGTCAATGACTGTAAGCAGAGATGGGTGTACAGTAATTGTATGCAAATATCCCTGTGCAGCTGCCCTTAACGAGAATCCGTTCACTCACATGTCCTGTGGTGGTGGCCTCGCTCATCCTTCCAATTGTGCCTGGAACGCTGCTCTCTTCCTGCTTGCCTGGCTGCTCCAGGCAGGGGGAGAGAGGACGGGTCTCCCTGCTCAGTTGCTGAATGGCCAGCTGATTGGGAAGGGAGTGGCGTTCTAAGAGTGATTGGAAGGATGAGTGGGGCCACCGCCGCAGCAGACGCATAAGTGGACGGTCTGGCCCTGGGGACTGGTCCCTTGTTAAGTCCTGCTGCTCGGGGATATTAATATTCATATATAAATACAAATATCCCCATATCTTGGTTCTGAGAAGCTGAACAAGTATTATACAAGTATCTGAACAGTTACTCAATGGGTTTTGAATTGCATTTTTAAAAATATCTCTTGTTAAATGAAATTTAGAGGGGTGACAAATCATCCAATTATTTCTAGGAGGAAAGCAATTTTGCACTGATCAAAAGGCTTAAAAGATCACTGTAGGAAGGTTTTGCTCTCAGCAGAGCCTAATGGTTGTGCTTTTGATTTTACAAAGTAGAAATTTTCACTTTCTTGCTTGATTTCTCTTCTGTATTAATAGGTCATAAATATGTCATATCCAGATTAATCTAATTTTGATAAAATTATGAGCAGTTATTATGTAGCATTTAAGTTAATTGGGAAGAACATTCATTTTGTTTGAAAAAGTAGCCACATCTGCTCTGTTGTGCCTTCTCCCATGTAAACAAATGTTCTGTAATTTGAGTATTGAAAAGATTATAGTAAGCTAGGAGGAGCAGTCAAAGGTTAACTGCAACAATGTTTGTTACCAACAATCATAAAATCTATCCAATCACATGATAAATATGTTGTGAATATCTTTTTTTCTTTTACTTAGTTTTGGTACTGCTGGTAGTAGAGCTGAAGGCTGATCGGTACCTGCACTATTTATTGGATAAATGTCAGAAAGAGGTTAGTAGGTTTCCACGCCCCCCGTTCCTTTAAATGCAGTTTCACTTGAAGGTGGAGAATGAAGAGGTAATATGGAATCAAGGAAGGAGGCTAGGAAAGTATTAGAATTGATCCTCCTTCTGAAACACTAAAGCATCAATGTTTATTCTGTTTTTTTAGATTTTCTGACAAAATGGCAGCCTACTGTGAAGCGCAGGCAAATGAATTATAGATTAAAAGGTTGTACAGAAATGAATGACATTTATATAATTTGTCCTAGCTTCCCATGAAAATCTTATATGGAAAAGTATATTTATTTAAAATAATTTTATCTCACATTTCTCCTCAAAAAGAACCCTAGGTTGCTTACATTATTAAAAACACAATGTTTAAAAGCTAAAAACAGTAGGTGTACATATATTAAAAAACAATTAAACAAGTATAATATTAAAAACACTAGTAAAGTCAATACAAAACACATTTTAAACACTGGAGCACAACAATCCATTTAAAAACCTCTCTCAGACCACCAGTTATTAAGGGAAAACCTGCCTGAAAAGAAAGGTCTTTGCCTGCTTGTGGAAGCACAAGAAAGATGGGGCCAGCCTTGCTTCCCATGGGAGAGAGTTCCAGAGCCTGGGAGCAGCAACAGAGAAGGCTCTCTCCTGTGTCCCCACCAAGCACATCTGTGAGGGTGGTGGGACCAACATGGTTTGACATGCTGCTGTTTCACAGATACATTCCCCATTGCAATTTCCATAGTCAGAGAGCTCAAGATGTTCTTCCGCAATTGTGGGCTAGTCTTGAACAAACTCTTTGCAGACATGGAAATTTTAATGGGAATGTGCCTGTGATGCAGCAGCACAATATACAATATACTTATGCATATGACTTTCTGTACATAGACCTAGTCAGAGTGCGCTTCCATTGACTTGTGTATGCTAACTGTAGTTGGACCAGTCTCCACCTAACTTATTTTCTCATTGGACTCATCTAAAGAACTTCTCTTGTCTTGTCTTAGTGGAATATTTTCCACTCCAAGGAAACATCAGTCTACTCTGGAATATACTCCCATAAGGATCATGGACCCTTATGATGGCATAATCCAGATCAGTAGAACCTAATCAGCACAAATCAATGCAAAACAGAAAAAAAACTACTGATGTTTGGTGGCAAAAAAACCACCCAGAAAATAAGTTTTTTTTGGTCTCACTTTGTCATGGTTGACATCACTATAGCCTTCTACCACATAAATAGTGGAAAAACTATTGTTTACCTGGGTTAGCTTATCGGAGAACGAATACTATGGATGAGCTCTAACAGATTTTTTTTCAGTATGAGCTTTCATGGTTTACAATCCATTTCCTCAGACACAATGCAGAATCTACAGAACTGTTTGTAATTCTCATTTTAGGGTAAATGACTTGCTTTTTTCACTTCCATCCCTAGTTATGCAAAGTAATTACCATAAGAGGGCATTTACCCATATTTAATCTTCTTGGAAAGTTGGCTGATGTCATCCCAATTTTCACAGATATATTGGTGACTGAACACAGTAAGTGTTACAAGTAAATTATAAGTATACATTGATGGTGCTAAAATTACTTGAAAGTAAGATAGTACTTCTTGATGTATCTCAAGATGTTTGTACTGGAAAACAAGGTTAATGAAGCAAATACAAGCTCTGCCAGGCTCTTCACAAGTCTGACTGCCCTCTTTTCCTTTTTCAGTCAGTCTTGTAAATGTAACTGGGCAGAAGTTAGAGTTTAGCTTTAAATAAGAAGTACTTTAAACATAGTATGCTTTCTGCATACAACCATGACGATTCATTCCATGAATTAAATGGAATGGAGTGGGGTGGAATGGAATAGAATAAATGGAATTCTTTCCATGAATTTAGATTTTTTGGTTTGTCTATATAATAAAGAATAGTAAGGCTGAAGTGATTTTTAACAAATGTGATGGATAGAGTAGTCCCATTTAAATCAATGGAACATACAGAAGAGTTGACTCACCAAATCCTTATTGAGTCAATGGGCCTACTCTAGTGCAATTTATTGTGTTAAGCAACAAGATTTTGGGCATTATTTTAATTGGGCCAGCAGGTTTCCTAAAAAGACAGGTTTTTGAGTCCTTTAGAACTTTTCTTCAGGCCGAGTGTTATAAAACACATGATGGATGGGAAGTAGAAAAATGCAAATATCATCCTAGCCAGATATTAAAGCCATGTGACATGTTCCAAAATTGAGACCATAGGCTTCAAGAGTCAGTTTGAGGTGTTGTGCTATCAGTTTGTATCTTGATATTAGGAATAAACTATTTATTTCCATCTCTGTAAAACAAGTTATAGGAACTCAGTGAACTCAGTGTTGTCTTTTAGCTGAAGCACAAGGCTTTTGTGCTCTCTTGAACTAGGTGCAATTAGTAACAGTGTTTTCAGGAACACAGATGTATATCAAGGCAAGAAGGCTCTAGGAACTAAGAATAAAGGTAGCATGTGATAAAAGTAAATAGGACCCGAGCCAAAAAAAACCCAATTGTACTGAGGATAAAACTCGTTGGGTGTGGTTCTCTCTCAACCTAACCTACCCACAGATTTATTGAGAAGGTAAAATGTGGAGGAGAAAAACCATGTATGCTTTGTAAACTTTTTAGAGGAAATATTGGATATAAGTGTAACCAATAAATAATGTCTAATATTCTGTTGCATAGTTATGCCAATGTAAGGACAATGGTGTAACTCAGTGGTTCTTAACGTGGGCGATAATGCCCCCCAGGGGGCGATTTCATTTTTCAGGGGGGCAGTAGAACGAAAAGGGG